CAAACCACCTGAGCTAGAGATGGGTGGAGTCAGAGCAGGGGCAGAAAGGAGGGGCCAAGGGGCGAATGACCCCGGAGAAAGCTCAGTGCTTGAGAACTTCAGGGGCTGGGATGGCTTGGGTTTGAATTGTGGGTGTCCGTCATGTAGTTGAGCTGTGTGATTTCCTTACACGCTTGAGCTCATCTGAAAACACGAGGGTGAGAGGAGGCTGTCCCCATGGAAAAGGCTCCACAGGTGGGGATCAGGTCTGGCTTGCTCAATCCCCTGGCACTGTGGGATCTTAGGTATTCAATAACCACTGGGGAATTAAATGACTATTGACTAAACAAGAAAATGCTCACAAAGTCCTTAATACAGTACTCAATAGCAAATTAGCCTGAACAATTGCTCAATAAATATTTGCTATTTTTGTTAGTGGACCACAGAGGGAGGCACCATGGAACAATGGGACCACGAGATTATGAGGGAATCCCCAGAAAAGGTTCAGTCCGAAATCCCAGAACCTGAGAACCCCCAGGGTCCGCAGGTGCTCACTCGGAACACGGAGGGCATCATGCGGTCAGGGCCTCCCGGTCCCGCTTCGTCACCGGGTCCTGCCTCTGGCTTCTGGGAACAGCTGTGCTTTCGCATGGGGAGCTGAAGCCAGAGAAGAGGAGGAAGCACCGCCCTTGCTGAACCATCTAACCAGGCCTAATTAATCGATAAGCCAAGCTGCCGCTTTCCTGCCAACCAGCCTCCTGAAGAGTACTTACTCTGTCTGAATTGATGGCCGTACTTTGGCCACCACGGCTAATCCCCACCGCCCGCAGAGGCTGGGCGCCAAGGGGAGTGTGTAAGGCGGCAGCTGGCCGGGCTTTGACAAGCGAGGGTGCCCCCACAGCAGCCCAAGGCGGGTCTGAAACAGGTCACAACCCTGCAAAGACTAGGGGTCTGGCTCCCTAGTGTGTGGGCTGGACAGGTGTCTTGTGCCAGCCAGACAACCGTGTCCTGATGACAGAGGTCACGGAGGAGACCAAAGGTCCAAAGCTTGAACCCTCAGCTTTCATGACAGCACTCCTATGTCAGGAGCTTTCCAGAAATCCCTGCCTTTAAATATCGTGTCCCAGCTCGGGGAGGCTCAGACATCCTGGCCCCTACACCTGCTGCACTCCCAGGCCAGCCTCAACCCTGACTCCCGCCTCACGACCCACTCCTCCTCAAATCCACATCTTGCCCCAGATTCCATGCACAGCGAGAGCCAGCCAGTCTCCACCCCTCCACATCTGCTTTCCCAGGTGTGGACGGAGCTGGCTCCCCCCCGCCTTCCAGGAATGGGCATGTGAGGACAGAGCCTGCAGGAAGGCCGGCAGGGCGGCCAGGGTGCTGGTGGCCACCAGCCAGGTCTTCATCCCACGGTGGGGCTGCAGCGCTGCCTGCCCCTCCTCTGGGCCCTGGTTTGTACCATTCCACTTTCCCCAGGGCCCTGGGCTCCCTTCAGCTGCCCTGCCCACCCCCACTCCAGCAGCCATGTGCTACTGCTCACCCCGCCTGGTCCCCCACCTCCTGCCATCTGGGTCCCCCTCGCCACTGCAAATAGCTGAATGGCAGAGCAGTTATTTCAATTCAAAGAACTTTCCATTCCAGCATGGAGACTAGTAAGATCTGGAACACAAACCACCTGAGCTAGAGAGGGGTGGAGTCAGAGCAGGGGCAGAAAGGAGGGGCCAAGGGGCGAATGACCCCGGAGAAAGCTCAGTGCTTGAGAACTTCAGGGGCTGGGATGGCTTGGGTTTGAATTGTGGGTGTCCGTCATGTAGTTGAGCTGTGTGATTTCCTTACACGCTTGAGCTCATCTGAAAACACGAGGGTGAGAGGAGGCTGTCCCCATGGAAAAGGCTCCACAGGTGGGGATCAGGTCTGGCTTGCTCAATCCCCTGGCACTGTGGGATCTTAGGTATTCAATAACCACTGGGGAATTAAATGACTATTGACTAAACAAGAAAATGCTCACAAAGTCCTTAATACAGTACTCAATAGCAAATTAGCCTGAACAATTGCTCAATAAATATTTGCTATTTTTGTTAGTGGACCACAGAGGGAGGCACCATGGAACAATGGGACCACGAGATTATGAGGGAATCCCCAGAAAAGGTTCAGTCCGAAATCCCAGAACCTGAGAACCCCCAGGGTCCACAGGTGCTCACTCGGAACACGGAGGGCATCATGCGGTCAGGGCCTCCCGGTCCCGCTTCGTCACCGGGTCCTGCCTCTGGCTTCTGGGAACAGCTGTGCTTTCGCATGGGGAGCTGAAGCCAGAGAAGAGGAGGAAGCACCGCCCTTGCTGAACCATCTAACCAGGCCTAATTAATCGATAAGCCAAGCTGCCGCTTTCCTGGCAACCAGCCTCCCGCTCTGCCACCTCGTCAGGGTCACACGGGCTCCTGGCAGCCTCAGTCCACTTGTCGCAGATGGGAACTGAGGCCCAGAGACGGGTGCAGAGAGGTGGGCTTGAGCCCCAGGCCACCACAGAGATGACCATCACCCAGCTGGGGCTTAAGGGACACCAAAAAGTCCTGACTGCCTCCAACCCAGTCTCCACCCTGCAGCTGGCACCGGAGCGGCTCGGAAGTGTAAGGCGGCAGCTGGCCGGGCTTCGACAAGCGAGGGTGCCCCCACAGCAGCCCAAGGCGGGTCTGAAACAGGTCACAACCCTGCAAAGACTAGGGGTCTGGCTCCCTAGTGTGTGGGCTGGACAGGTGTCTTGTGCCAGCCAGACAACCGTGTCCTGATGACAGAGGTCACGGAGGAGACCAAAGGTCCAAAGCTTGAACCCTCAGCTTTCATGACAGCACTCCTATGTCAGGAGCTTTCCAGAAATCCCTGCCTTTAAATATCGTGTCCCAGCTCGGGGAGGCTCAGACATCCTGGCCCCTACACCTGCTGCACTCCCAGGCCAGCCTCAACCCTGACTCCCGCCTCACGAACCACTTGCCTGTTGGCTGTGCCTGTCGGAAACCCATTGGGGATCCCGCACACACTGTCAGGGCGAAAGAAAAGCAAACACAGCTGGAAACAAACGCCTCACTCTGGCCCTGTCCAGGCCCACTCGGCAGGCCTCACGGTGGCCTCTGCCTGCACCCACTCCCTCCCGCGCCTGTACAAACGCTGCCCAAGGTCCGTTCGAGACGTAGGAATCAGACGCGCAGGCATGTCAGACATTTTACAAAGAGGATCAGACGTTACACACCACGCAGCAGGTTGCTCCCACTCATCAATAATTACATGTTTGGGCAGAATTGGGGGTGCCCGGGCTGTGTCGCCCCAGCTAGGCTCTGGTGCAGCCCCTGCCCGTGCTCGCTTGGGCTGCCTTCCCAGCCCCGGTTAGTCTCTAATACCCGCTGTCCTCCCTCAGCTCCCCAGCCTCTCCCCCATCATCTCCACCAGCAGTTACCTTAGTCAACGCCTCTCCACAGGTGTTATGATCAGCCTTAGCTCAGTAACAGCCAGGTCCAGCTCAGCCCCGTCACACATGCCTGGTGACCAAGACCTCCCAACACACAAGCTTATTACCCGCCAAATGACCAAATGCCCTGGGATAGGGGGGAACCACCTAGTCACCCACAATCAAAACCATTCCTGGGAACCCAAAGCTGTTTTTATCTCCTCTGACAATCTTTTGCCTCCCTCCGAAGTGTCTTCGAACCTATTCTCTAGAACTGGGCCATGAACGGTTGACTCAGCGTCTCTAGGTGGGCCAGCCCATGCACTCTGCAAAGGAAGGCCTGGCTCTGGCCCAGCTGCGGGAAGGTGACTCTCTAACCTCTAAGCCCTGGGGGTGTTGTTATGGTTTGGATCGTGTTCACGTTCTGGAGGCGTGGTCCCCAGTGTAATGGCTTTGGGAGGTGGTGAGACCTTTAGAGGCGGAGCCTCGTGGGAGGCACCATCCTCCTGGCTGGGGGAGTGGGAACGACAAACAGGAAGTGGGACATTCTGTTTCCTCTCTCTCGCCAGGTGCCCCGTCTCAGTTTCTCTTGGCCATGTTGTGACACAGTCCCAGAGGCCAGCCAGATGCTAGTCCCACACTTTCGGACTTCCCAGCCACCAGAATCATGAGCCAGATAAACCTCTATTTCGTCTGAGTCCCCCAGTATCGGGCATGTCTGGGCAGCAGCGCAGGACCAGGTCTGATAGGACATTGTGCCCCTGACGGCGGGACCGAGGCGGGCCTTGGCCACGTCTGGGGAGACTGGTGACTGAGGCAGGTCATGTGGGCAGTCAGCCATGCCTATGAAATCAACACCCGGGACCAGCAGTTAGCGTAATGAAGTCAGCACCCAGTAGACCCCGGATACCACGGCTCAGACAGACTTTCCTGGTCGGGATACTCCACACGTGCCGTCACACATCACTGCTGGATGGCTGACTAGTCCCCACACGACTGTTCTGCTGGGAGGAGATAACCGGAAGCTCTCACCTGCTGACTGCTGGCCCCTGCCCTGTGCACACGTCCTACTGTGGACCGTAGCCTGTTCCTTCCATCGTAACAAGCCATAGCTGTCGGTCTAACAAGGTGCTGAGTTCTGTGAGTCCTAGCAAACCACTGGGCCTGAGGGAGGCCCCGGGGACCCCTCAACACAAGAGCCAGTGACTGAGCCAGCAGGCAGCTACAGAGCACCTCCTGCACTTCGGCACCAGCCTAGCCCAGCCCTGGCCACGCTGCCCAGCTCCCCTCACCCCCAAGGCCCTAGGGAGGGCACTGTCATGTGCACATACACCTCCCTCCAGGGAAAAGTCCCGGCATCTTGTCTACCCAGCCCCAGCCCTCGTAGGCAGGCCCCGTCACCAGGTAACAGCAGGTAACCTCCCAGCTACCAGGCAGCATCTCCAGTGCCAGGTAAATTCACCGGAACCAGGCGATTCATGTCCCAGGTTCCAGGCAGTGGCCTGGGTATTTGGTGTCATCGCTGGAGCCAGGTGACAGCGCGGGGCCCAGGAGCACCCCTGCCACCCGCGAGCCTCACCTGCCGATCACCTCGATGTTGGAGATGGCGTAGAAGTACTTGTAGAGGTTCTCCCGCTGCACATAGGTGCCGCCCAGCGCCGGGCGCAGCAGGCGCATGCGCAGGTCGGTGACAGTGAAGAACTCCTTGAGGCCCTTGGCGCTCTCCAGCCGTGTGTAGAGGTTGTCCATGTTGCGCAGGCCGGGGCCCGCGAAGATGGCGAAGCGGTCCCGCACCTCGAAGCGGACGTGCTTCTCCTTCTTGGAGCCCGCCCAGCGCGAGTACTCCTCGGTGCAGAGCACCCGGTGGGCGCTGGAGGACGACATGTCGCGGGCCCTGCGGGCCGACATGCCGAAGGCCTCCATGCAGTCCTCGGCGTAGAACTGGTAGGGCTGCCACGTGCGCCCGTTGTCCAGCGACTTCTCCAGGACCATGGCCGTGGGCCGGCCGTACTCGAAGGTCACCACCACGTCGTCGGTCAGCTCCACGCTCTTGTTCCACGAGAGGGTGATGTTGGCCTCCAGCGGGCTGGGGTAGCGGCTCCACGTGACGCTCTGCCAGTAGGTGGCCAGGCCCTCCTCCTCCCTGTCCAGCATGAGCCGCGGCGGGTGGGCCAGGTCCGGGTTGGAGGCGTCACACTCGTTGCTGCACAGGTAGGGATTCTCCTGCAACGGCAGAGGAGGGAGGTGGGTGCAGGCTGCCCCGGAGGACCTGGGAGCCTGCACCCAGCCCGGCTCGCCCGCGTGCCCAGACATCTGGCAGAGCCCGTGTTCCCATGTCTGGGGCTGGAAATGTGTACCCATTTCCCCAAAGCACAGAAAGGCGTGCAACTCTCCGACTTCCCAAGAAAACGCTGTTCCTACCCCACACAGGGACAGCAAGGGTGGGTGCTCCGAAGTCCCCCGTGGCTCCCCACTGCCTGGAGGACACAGTTCGTTTTAATACTCTGACCCCGTCTGGCCTCCCACCACACATGGTGATGCTGGGCGGGGCCTCTGAGCCTTTGCCAAAGGTCCCCTCACCTCGACGTGCATGTCGTTCTCTGCTGCGAGAATTCCCGCTCGCGCTCTCGACCCCGTGAACATCTACGCTGAGATGCCTTCCCGACCAGTTAAACCCGCCATCAGCTTTGGTGAGCACATGGAGGTGTGGGGAGGGTGGTGTGCCCAGAGACGGCAGGATGCTCTGCCCCCTCCCTGCCCCGCCTGGCGTCTCTTCCATTTGGCTGTTCCCAAGTCTCACCCTGGGTAAGGGAGCCACGCGCCTTCCCGGGTCCTGGCAGCTGCATTGGTCAGAGGGCCGTTGGCCCAGGCCGCACCGGGCATCAGCAGTAGCCAGCCCAGCCCTTGCAGACACCCCTGCCCAGCCCTATAGTGGCCACGCGTGGCTTCTCCATGGTAGATCCAACCCACCCACCCCCAGTCTGGTCCTGTGTGAGAACTAACCCCAGAGACCTGAAAATGTCACTGACGCGGTGGCTGCCCAGGGTCAGAGGGTTGAATAGGGGACACAGGCATTGTTAGAAAGCACAGCTCCCCTGTGTGACACAGGATGGTGTGTCCTCGACACCATGCATGGGTTCGAACCCACAGAAGGCAGGACCCAGAGTGTCCCAAAGGAGACCTGGGGCTTTGGTTACCAAGAACACATCACACGGGCTCCTCAAAGGCAGCGAACACCCCACACCAAGCGAGGTGCCAACAACAGAGACGCCGTGGGCAGGGGTCAGGACTCCACACGACCTGTTCGCTTTTCTGTACACCTAAGGAAGTCTATTTTTAAAATGTATTCTTGGGACCAGCAGTTGATGTAATGGCTATGTTGCTGGATTCCCATGTAGTTGATCATGGTTCGAGTCCTGGACCCGGTGGCTTAAACTCATACCGGGCACATGTGTGTGCGTGCCCAAGATCCTGAGAGGAAATTGGAGGAGAAGGGATTGTAGCATGGCCATACCCCCTGGGGGTACTTTCTTGCTTTCTGTCTCTCTGTCTCTCTGTCTTTCTGAAGAGTGCCGCGCCCTATAGCAAAACCTCTCCAAAGAAAAACAAAAAAAAAGTATATTTACATGGAATCACTGTACACCCTACAGCATGCAACACGGTTTTCCCAGCACGGACAGGGTGCACGTTAGTGAAGTCGCAGACAGTCCCACACGCTCGCCTCAACGGGTAAGTTTTCGTCGTGTCTCTTAAACTTTGGCTTCTCTTCTGATGCCCTTCCTCCCACCGTTACCCGCCCCTTCTATCCCGTCTCCAGTGTGTGCGGCTGCCCTCCCTGGCATCGTGCCTTCCACTGTTCGGGTTCTGCTGGAGTGCAGGCATTCGGGACACACGATGCCTGTCTCTTGGTTCAAAAGATACTCTGCCCCACGACGACACGCCCCGGACCGCTGGACCACTCGCGGCCCTTTTGATGAGTATTTCAGGCGTCTGATTTGCTCAGAGACAGAATGACTTGGATCTGAGTTAAGACTCTCAAATGAGGGGCCAGCAGGTGGCATGATGGTTAGGGGTGCTGGACTCCCACATGGCCAACCGCGGTTCGAGTCCTGGACCTGGTGGCTTGCTTTCTCACCTTCTCTCTTTCTCTCTCTGTCCCTCTCTGGTCAAATTAAAACATAAATATAAAGTTAAATAAGATAATAATAATTTTTTTAATCAAATGAGCCATCCGGCCCCCATGGGGGAGTGGACTCTTTGCCTCCTGAGGGGCTGTGCAGGCACCCCACCCTGCCGTACTGGGCACCCCTGCAGCCAGCCACAGGCCAGGGGCTTTGATGGTCTGTGTAGAGGCCAGACTCCCAGACCGCCCAGGGCCTCCAGTGGCCAGGCCACACTGGGTTCACTGAGTGGGCTCCACAAAACCCTCCTCAGCCAAAATAGCCACGACCTCTGTCCCAGATGGTGCCGCTGCCCACTCCCCTGGCCGGGCGCTGCCAATTCACAGAATTCGAAAATACTGGAGTGGAGGAAGCTCCCTATCAAGTCCAGCACCTCACTGAGTTGATGGGGAAACCGAGACCCAGTGCAGGGCAGGACTGGCTTGAGCCTTCGTGAGTCGGGTTGCCTGAGAGTGTCTGCTCCTGCCCTGGTCAGCTCGTGGGAGGGTCCAAGCTTCCTTGGAGTTCAGCTGGTCACTCTGAGCCAGTCCACCCTGTCCGGTGCTGTCACCCAAGAGGGGCTGGCTCAATGCCCGCCCCGCCCCTACGCTGCCCGGGGAGCATGT